AATGTACCCACTTAATACTATAATAAGTTCACTAGGATTTTCCCCATTAAAACACTCATGAGTCATAGCCTAGTATTAGTTTCCAAGCTTTTCCTCTGTACTCTCCTTACATCTAAGAGTCATATGGAATCTGTGGTACCTATGCCAACGTGCTGTGGGTTTTGAAATCGCTTGCCCCATGCTGATGCCTCGTGTCAATCAGGAAATGTTGTAATTTGTAACGTACTACCCTGATGGTGTTACAGGGTAGGAAGTTGTGGGAAGGCAAGGTTGGTGGCAGGAGTGAGTAGTAGTTACTGAGTTTTGCCAGCTTATATAACCCAGATAGACTTTGTCGTATTGAGTACCTCTTCTATCACTTCCACCTTCTGTTTTAAACAGACAAGATGTTTGCCTTTGACTTTTGTTATTAAGACACTACGCCTCTTCTCAACTATACCTGTCACAACTTCAGGATTGCTTAAGACTCACGCTGTCACCGGTATGTTCCCTTTAGCAATGTCCTACAGATCAGAGTAGGTTTATAGATGGGAACTCCAGACACCCACATGTTGGAGACATGGGTGAGTGCGTAGGATAGGACCCTGCTCTACTAATCAGAAGGAATTTGTCCCTGACTGAGTCTTGAGGTGTCTGCTATTGACATCTGAGGTTTTACTTGTTCCTCATTTCTTTGGTACCAGCGTGACTTCCCACGCTTGCTTTTCAGCACCCCACTTTTAGCAGTTCCTGTCTTGGTCTGCATCTCAGACAGTGCACAAAAAATTTGAAGGACATCCCAGGGAGAGCCCAGAAAGCCTCATCAGGAAAGATTTGGGCCTCTGCCCGTGTGTTTTCTGTTCTAACTCTTGCAAAATAAATTGACTTTCTGTTGTAGTGTACCTGTTAAAATTGTGTTAGCCACACCATCAGAATCCAGCCCACAAAGCATTTGCTGTTCCTTTTGACCCTTTTAAGAGGCATAGCTTTCCTGTGATCTAGACTTGAAAGATCTGTGGGATGTGAGAGTTAACCTAGGACAGTGCCTGGATGTTTGTGGCGTTTCTGAAATAAATGCATAAGTGGATTTCAGTGCTCAATACGCTCTAATTAAATAAATACATTTTTATTGCACATTTGTGTAAAGACTAAAAATTATAGACCTAAGGGATACAATTCTAGTCATTTATGTTACAAATGAAATAACCAAGCCCAGGGGAGGTAAAAGTGGCTTTCCATAAGCAACTAGTACTGGCTATGGTGAGTCTCAAGCCCAAGTTGAACAGATATTGTTTAAAGATTCAAGTTCACAAAATCATGTACACTGAATGGTGTTAGTTCCTTTTCTAAGGAGAGTGCTTCGGGTAAGTTACTGCGTGGCTTGAACACACGGAGAAGGACTCCATTGAAGCTTTAAATAGATGCCTTGTTTTCACTTCCACGTGTTGGGATGGTATTTAGCACTTGGTCAGCAGGCTGAGTTACCAAGATGGTATTGATGTGGCTTGGAACACCGCATTCCCTAGGGGCTCCCTAATTCCAAGAAAACTGCTCATGGATTCAGGCAATTGGGTTTTCTTGACTTGCTTTTTCTAAGCCTCTAGGAAAAAATGGAGAAGTGGCTGACTTCTTGCCTGAATTTTATGCTAAGATTGAGGAGGGATATTTGGTCATTCTTTCCTTTACTTTGTGTTTGAATCATATTATTTTATAGCTGTAGGTGAAAAAGAAAATATTCCTAGGGAAAAGGTTTATTCATGTTTCCATCTTTAAACTATTATTGAACTCCAAACAGGTGAAATGGGCAGAACAGAGTATTGTGCATGGCCCTTCGCCACCGCTTCTCAATCTACCTTAGCAAGTAAGATGGAAATACAGTTTGGAAAAGGCTCTCTCTTTCCCAAGCGTGCTTTAAAGAACATTGTAAGGCACGTTCTCCCTTTTGATTTTCTCTGGAACGTTTTTGCCTTGGTACATGCTGGGCTCACTTAGTCGTTTGGTGTTTCTGGTTGGCATTCATCTTTTCCCAACGTGAGGCGTCTGTTCTTATTACTGTAAGATTTTGCCCATTTAATAACATTGACTTGCTCTTAAAATCTACAAATTATGTAATGGATGTTGCAGGCTTTAATTTAGAATTTAAACATTAAGGAAAGTGATTATTGTTTTGATTATAACTGAATCAATTTCCATTTGTTTGCTTGTTTTGAATATCGTAATTTGTTCCACCTCTGTTTTACTTAATTTTGAAATTCGAAGTTACTCTCTATTGTATATTAACAGGGCTGAGAAATGGTTTTAGCTAAAGGAAGGTCAATGAAAATTTGCTGAATACTTACGATGTGTCATGAGCTGAACTATATCCTTTCCTACAAATCACTCCGCTTGATGCTGTAACAACCTCCTCCCCTTTTTTCGTTATAGGTGTGGTTGAGTTTGCTGAGGCTAACTTCCCTGCCCAAGTTCACATAGCTGAACTTGACCTGCTGACTCCATTGCCAATCGCTTTCTCCCACAGACTATGTTGGATCAGGGCTCAAAACTCATTGGCAGGCCATCAAAGTTCCAAAAGTTCCATTTGAACGGAAAGAGAAAAACCTGTTTTCTGAAACTCGAACTCTAATTACATAAAGCGGATGCTTCTGAAAACAGTATTGTCTCACAGGGCAGGCTGTAAACCTTCAACAACAATCAAAGCCTCAGATTATGTAAGAAGGGAGTTTGTGGAGCCGAATCGCCACTGTGCTGTTTCCACCAACAGGGACAGAAGTTGCTGGAATAACAGGGGGCCCGCCTGAGGCCCGGTGTAGACAGGGAGGCTTCTCTGCAGCTGATAAAACTGCTCTTCGGTAAGGAGCCTTGCTCCTCTGTGCAGGCTGCTTGTGCGGTGCCTCCTCCGTGGCTAAACGAAGGCACTAATGACAGGGCTGTGTGGGAGAGTGGGCGGAGGGTGGTAGAGGGGTGTGGGGGCACTTGGCTGCTGGGGAGTTTCTGGGAGGGAGAATAAGCCCTGGTAATTGTAAGGGATTCGTGATTCTGGTAACAAAGAGAACTCAAAGCAAAACGGCTCAGTAGTTGATGAAATTTCATTGGGGTTGACACCGCCCTGTTCTGTCCATCTTTACCCTAGGTGAGACCCAGCTAGGTTGTTCTTCCATGCTTGTTTTCAGCTTTGTAACCACCAGTAATCACATTGGTCTTGGGGATTTTTCAAGTTTCAGTTTTTACAGATGATGCAAAAAGCTTTAGCTGACTCATTGTCACTGCAAACTCCAGGTGTCTATATTTTTCAACAAGTGGCCTCTGAGCCACTGACTTCTCCTTTACCTGGTCAACTTGTTAAAAAGTAGATTCTTAGGACCCACTTTGGACCTGCTAATTAATGTCTGGAAAGAGACCCCTCACCTGCATTATTAACAAGCTCCTCAGATGATCCTGAATACACAAATTTCACAATTATTGTTTGAAACATTATATCCAAACATGGACAAATAAGAGAATTTGAGTGACTTTGCTCCAGATCACATCATGAATAAGGGACAAATTGGTATTAAGTTCTGGTTGCTTCAATTAGAATTCATTCCCATTCATTCATTCATTGAAAAGCTATGTATTAAGTTTTTACCGTATATCAGATATGGGGGTAAAAGACACAGACTTTGTTCTCTAGCAGTTCCATGGTTAGAAAGGAATACCCCTTGGTTATGTTTTGAAATCTCCTAGCACTCTGGAACTCAAACCTTCTGTGTTTCTTCATTGCTCAGTGCCTCATTAAGTAGCCAAGAGGCTCAAATTTGAAGGAGGTGAGTGTGGAGCAGTGCGAACATGGACAGCTTGGGGGGAATGTTTGGTTGAAAAATTTTGAGAGAGATATTTGGATTCATGAGGAGGGGGTTGCATTACAAATGACGTTAAATATTACACCGTGCTGTGTAAATTCAACATTGAGGTAGGCTTTCAAAGCTAGACACAGCACATAGATTCTCCTGTGGATTTGGTACATTCTTTCCTAATTCAGCAAATGTTTACTGAACCGTTGTTTGTGCTAAGCATGGCACCAAGAAATAAGCAGGGGCCGGCCTGGTGGTGCAGCGTATAAGTTCTCATGTTCCATTTCTTGGCGGCCCAGGGTTTGCCAGTTCGGATCCCGCGTGGGGACATGGCACCACTTGGCAAAAGCCGTGCTGTGGCGGGCGTCCCACATATAAAGTAGAGGAAGATGGGCATGGATGTTAGCTCAGGGCCAGTCTTCCTCAGCAAAAAGGAGGATTGGCAGTAGTTAGCTCAGGGCTAATCTTCCTCAAAAAAAAAAAGGGAAAAAAAAAAGAAAAAAAGCAGAGACTGACCCCGTGGCTGAGTGGTTAAGTTCGCATGCTTTGGTGACCCAGGGTTTCGCTGGTTCGGATCTTGGGTGGGGACCTAGCACCAGTCATCAAGCCATGGTGAGGTGGCATCCCACATAGCACAACCAGAAGGACCTACAACTAGAATAAACAACTATGTGCTGGGGGGCTTTGGGGCGAAGAAGAAGAAAAAAAAGATTGGCAACAGATGTTAGCTCAGGGCCAATCTTAAAAAAAAAGAATCCTGAAGAGAAGGGCTTTTGAGAAAAACAAGAAAGAAAAAAACCAAATTCTTTGTTGAAAAATCAAGGACACGTATAAAGAATTTAGAATAATTTTCATTGGAAGTGATTAAAATATGAAATGGCTTTAGGATTGGAAATGCTACATTTGCTATTGGTGCCAGGAAAAAAAGACTTAAGTTGTCAATATGTGGCAATTTTAGGTGGTCCTAAAAAGTGTGAACTAACTCTTAATGATTCCAGATAGAAATTACTAGAAGTGAAATTGCATTTCATCTTCTCTCCTTCTTGGCCGCCAGTCTGTGGTTGTCGAGTAGGCTACAGTGAGTGAGTCTGTTATGGCTCCAAGCCCACGATGGTCTGTCGAGTCCATTAATAAGCAGCAAAAATATCTCAACTGCTAGAACTTTTCTCTGTGCTGAGTTTTGATTCTGTCTTGAGGGTTCTAAATTAGTTGTGGGGGTAAGACATTAGTTTCCTGGGTCTGTGGAGAACAGGAGTGGTTCAGCAGTGACCTCAGCAGCTTGCATTTCCTGAGCTGGTTGTGGTTTACTTACTAGCATTATTGACTAAAAGAGCAGGTGAATCACATAAAGTAATAACTTAGAACGCTACAACCAGTGCTTTTGAAAGGACCACCCGTTAAGTGCAAATAAATAATGATGTGAACGCATAGCAAACTCTAAAAGTATACCAGGCTATGATGAGAATGAATAATACATGTTTTCTGATAGTGTTTGCTGCATGTAGCAGGATATTTCAAAGAGGAATAAAACCCTCTGCATATCTGCATTCAGTCAACCTTTGTGTTCAAAGACAAGCTTAACTGTCTTCTGCCATATTTATAGCAGCAGCAGCAATTTATAGTTTTATGGTGAAAACTTGTAGAATCAATTAGGAGATACTTTGAAAAATTGGTTTCTACAATATATACATGGTCACTTAAAAGAAAAGTATCTTGTCAATGTTATTGCAGTAATTTTTGCATCCTCGTTTTTAATTATGTGATGGGTCCTAGTGCCATAGAATTTGCCATCATGGGTGAGCCCTGCAACTTGGCCCTGTCTCATTTAATGGAGTGGAAATTTCAGTTATAATTTAGCATACGTATTTCTACTGCTAAATGGAAGTTGAGTTTACATAACTCAATTTATAGCCCTGGTTGTATTGACTCTTACATCTTACAAGTTTATAATTTGAAAATTGCATGTTTATCTGTGTAACGAGTCTGCAATATTTATCAAGTACCCATCGTGCATTAACAACTGTAAAACAATCTTCTGGGGTCATCAGATATATATTAAGTAAATCTGAAGAAAGGTTTTAGGTCACTGTTCAAGTGAGGCTAGATCTGTTTTACTGCTAAAACTTCCAACACGGTACAATAGAATATGAAAGGGTTAAGTCATGGTGATACAGATAAATTACCAAAGATGGATGGCTTACATAAAGACCAAGACCAGACTACATAATAAGGAAAGAATAAGGATAGTAAAGGAGTTCTTACAACTGAGGTCCTTTTCATACTTACATTGAGAATGCCAACTGTGCATCCCCGGATCTCTCAAACCCTTTTATAAAGCAGTGAGCTTATTTGCTTTACTTTTGCACGTCCGATTGTTTCACAATGAGACCTCTCCAGGTTTAGTGGTCACCATGCTAATTATTTAGCATTTTAGTTGATGAAATGTCTGTCCTTTTCCTCCCAGTACTTGAGAAATCCTAAGTGTTGTAGTGCGAAAGAACCTGAGAAGATAAGTGACAGGGCAAATGAAGACCTAAAGTACCGAAAGATAAATGACTATGTCAAAGACACGTGATCTGACACTTAATACAGACAGATCTTATTGAGTCTTTGGTCTAGAATAATTCAACTTGCACTATATTCACTTGAAAGAGAGTGATGCCGTTGCTGAGTCTGGAGCAACCTTTGCGTTTGGAATTTACCTCACTCCTTTCTCTCTCTCCCCCATCTGTACAGTAAGTGTCTCTCTTTGCCAAGTTTAATCTTGACTTACCTTTCAGAGTTTTCCAGAACCTTGCCCTATCAATTATTTCTCCCTCTTCTTTCCACTTTAGTTTCTCTCCTTATTCTTTGTCTCATCCCATCTTCCCATATATATTATCCGTTCTTCCAGATCCTTGCAAACAAATAAGCAAAGCTCAATCTTGACAAGATTGCAGGGTTTTGCCTTCACTTTACCAACACTCTTTTATGTGGGCCATTGTGGATCTCTTTTCTGGTTCCTCCTATGCTCTTTGAGTCTTTCCAAAGAGGCATATGTCTTCACTCCTCTACCTGAGTCACTCCAGGGTCAGTAGTTGACAACTCACCACCAGATCAAATTGCACAATTTCTCTTCTTATCTTTCTTAACCTTTTTTGCAGCAGCATATAACTCCTCCAAACTGCTTCCTAAAATTCTCTCCTCTTTTGATTTCTGACACATTTTTGTTTTCCCTTTTATAACTCCCCTAAGAGCTGGTTTTCTGCTTCTGCCACCTAAACACAAACATTCTATTAGAGAACCTTTATAGATTTCTATTCCATCATCCCTTCCTCCAGGTAAATGAGTCCTTACCTATCTCTTAATGTAAATAGGGTATTCTTCTAATCTAGACTGGACCCTTCCTGTTTTTTCACTGTGATATAAACACTTTCCACTTCCCCATCTCCATCTATAGCTTGGCTATCTTTCAAGGCAGTTTATCATGATGGTTAAGAAACCTCACTCAAGAGCCAGAGTGCCTGGGTCTATACCACATCTCCAGACTACTAGTTGTATCATCTTGGCTAAGTTATTTGCCTCCAATATGCTTTAGTTTCCTCCTGGTAAAGTGGAGAAGTAATAATTCCTTCCTTATTGGACTGATGAGACAGTTAATGGGTTAACATATGTAAAGATTAAATAGTACAACAGTCCTAGGCAGAGTAAGTACTGTATGCATAACTACTTTTGATATTTCTACTATCTCAAACTCCACCTTCTTTATAAAACTTTCCTAATCCCCTGGCTCCAACTAAAGATCATCTCTTCTGGGAAAACTCTCTTGTTTTTCTCTCTCCTGTGACACTTAACCTGCTCTTATTTTAATCGTCTCTGTATATTTCATCCTTCCTGCTAGACTTAGTAGGCTTTCTGCTCACTTATGTTCTGTGTCATGGCTAACAGTACCCCCTTCAAAAAAGTTCTTTTCCCAGTAAGATCAAGTATATTTTTATAGAATAATTTCTGAACATCTGAAGTTCCTGAAGCTACTCTGCATGTTGAGTTTTTGATGACAGATCCCCAAAGATACTTTGAGAATGCTTCTGTGGGGCTAGCCCGGACTTTGTGGAGGAGAAAGATGGAGGGGTGACTTGTGATTAATCTTCTTTGTATTGGAGGGCTTTCTGACTTTGTAGATCCAACTTATCTTAATTACTTCTCTGGGAAAATTGGGTTGTAGAAGTGTGAGTGTGTGTGTACTTTTTCCCAAATATTTCTTGCACATCTTACAGTACATTTTTATTGTGACAAGGGAATAAATTGTCTTTAAAATGTTTTCTCTACGATTTTACTCAATATCTAATAAGCTTGCCTTAGGAGCTTACACATGGGTTGATAATTCTTACTACAGTTCCTTCTCCCCAAAGGACATTCCAATCCCCTGAATGTTGGTGATGTTACAGTTGCTGAATAGAAGCTTTGACTGAATCAGACACTGAGAACAATAACTCCAGCAATGGAAACTATCATTAGGCGTTGATAAAACCTGACAGCAAATCCTTGTGACAGAACACATCCTGGTAGGAATACGAAAATTACACAGAGGCTATCTTGTCTTTATTTCATTCTCCTTTTTTAGAACAAAAACTTTGACCATTTAAAAGAGAAGGTCCAGTCATTTGTCGAAAATAAAAATTGTTGGACATAGCCTAATGTTTTAATTTCTTTTTGCTATTCTTATTGAAAATATTTTTTGAGTTTGTTGTGTTTCTTCATTCTTTTCAATTCTTTCCTTAAGGTAAAACTTTTTTTCCCTTTCTCTTGTCTCAACATTTGCTTCAGCTGGTTTGACCAATCTCTTGAGTTCTTTAGGCCTGAGTAATTATAAACTCCATGTGTCTGGTGATGGGTTTGTCTGCAGATGCAACTCATGAATCAATCCTAACTTTATATGTTACCTTAAAAAAATCAATAATGGGTTGCCTTGTATATAAACCTGTTGAACCTTTGCAGCCTTGAATTCACAGTGACAATGGCTTGTTCCAGAATACAGTTAATATGCTGTGGCCACATATTTAACTTTGTCAAGAAACACTGATTCATTCTCAGCATCCTTGTACTATTTTCTTCTGCTTATACGATGGAAACAATCAAAGGGAGGCTATTTCTTGCCTTGATCACATCATGAAGGGATCAGACCAGAAATAACACTCCAGGCTCTGACACATACTGCTGCATATTCATGTTGGGCTTTGCTCTAGACTGGGAGTCATCTTCTTCATTGTAATCTGTTTGATGTCATCCTTAAGAACTCTGTTCTCCTGGTCTTAGAGGAAATGGTTAATCCAGATTTGTATTTTCACAATATAACCTTGGCAATGGATGGGACCTTTGTATGATTCAAACTGTGCTATAGAGAAAGTGCCTAGATATTATTAATGCAGAGACAGAAAGCGTAAATAGGAATAGCATGTGAAGTCATAAATATAGTAACTTTTGGATCATATGGAGAAATTCTATATCATTCATTTTTTTGTTTTGTTTTATACACCAGTTAACGTATGCCAATGATTTTCATTGTCACAGAATCATGTTGTTGTTCATTGACAGAGTAACAAAAAAATGTAAAAATATGCTAATGAGAAATGGACTTGGGAGGTGTCATGGAGTATGTAGTAACTGTAGGAAGAATGCCGTGCATGTAATCCCCTGAGGTTTTGAGGTAATCAATGCCTGGAAACTGTGTCATTATGCAAGGTTGCGTTTTCTGAAGAGGAACAATGCGATTTTTCATCATATTGGGGCTTGCATTTTTCATCCAAAGCCTTGGGCAACACTAGCTAATGGATATAACCAACAAAGTCTTACCAAAATGACGATCAGCAGTTGCAAGTGGTGATCATCTGCATATCAAAATATCTAAAATTCAGCACGTAGGCTGAGATAAACATTAACATTTAATTACTAATAATTTTGCTTGCTACCAAGAGGCAGAAGGGTTCTTGAAGGCTATATGGATGACCCAGGTTTCTAGAGGGACTCTTCTAGGATGCCTGATGGCGTGGTATTACTTAGAGCTGCCTCAAAGGACTGAATCTTAAAGTTGGTGATGACGATGCTATTGTTTCTACTACTCAAAGCTTCATTTGATCCCACGTTTCTCCTTTTCTTCCTCGCGTATACCCAACTATTTAGTCAGTGTATTATTTCAAGGAGTAAAGAGAGGAAACAGTAAATGATAGCTCCCAGAAACCTTACATTTCACTGAAACATCATAAGAACAACTTCCATAATGGCTAGATGTCATCTGGGTACATAGGGCTGTGCCTTCCTTTGTGTTGAAACACTAGCAGTTTTCTTGACCGAAACCAAAGTCAGTGGGGCTGAGTCATGTGTTTTCACTTGGCAGCAGCCATAGGATTTGAGAACCTCAGTCCTTAGCAGGGGCAGAACCATCTTCTATAGAGACTACAGAGGACCGAGTCAGCTCAGCCACTCCACTCCCCACAGCAAATAGCCCCTGCCAAAAGGGGGTCCTTTCTTAGCACTGGAGAACAGGGAAACTATTCTGCTGGGCTTCCTGATTCCTGTTACCATTGCTTTAGCTTTGGTGCAGAGTCGAGTCAACGTTTAAATCCTATACTGCTGGATCCTTTCATTCTTCTGTGCCTTTGAAGGTGTCCTGCTAGAGAAGCTTACAAGATAGAATATTTGGCTTCGGTTTCCATAAATTAAAAATGCAGAAAAAGATTGGATCTGGTGAAGCAGATTTTCAGAAGAAGCAGTATAGGGAGGGGAAGAGAGACTTTATTCAAAATGAGAAGCCTTTTCCCTCTCCTGTTTCTCTCATTCTCTCTCTCTTTTGCGCTCCCTCTCTCTTGTATGTGAGGGTGAGGAATCCCTGCCCTCACTGTGTTTAAAGTCAACGTGACCTCGTGCTGACCTTTCCGAAGCACAGCTGCTGGCGTTGAAGACCTGTAACTGGCCTGGAACTCTTTCCCACTTTATAAACTTGAAACAAAACCTTTTGAAGTATAATGTTGCATCCCGATAGCTCTGTAAAAATGGTCAGAGGTCTTAGTTCTTAGTCTTGTTCTGTGTGGGTTTTCCATTACAATGAATGTAGAAATGAATTATCCCTTGATTTTGAAAAAGAGCAATTCATGAGCGATTTCTTAGATAAAACTTTTTAATCAGGTTCTGAAGATAGAAGAGAATCATGAAAAGATACGGACTTTTATGAACAAATTAAAATTTTTTTCCTTACAAGAAATGTTCAATATTCCTGGGCTCAGTTAAAAACAAAACAAAAAAAATGGTTTTTCCCAACATAAGTGGTATATTTGCATGGTGATAATAGTGCTTATGTGTTAACCCCTTTAGACTTGTCCAAGGAAGGAAAAAGGAATGAGTCTGAAGCTAAAACCTTCAACTTTGGCAACTTTGACCATTTTTGTGACACTAGACAATCTTAACATTTATTCTATCTCGGGAATTTAATCCACTTTCTTCAAAAAAATTCAAGATGCTTTGTCTTTTTTTTTCCATGAGAAGATTAACTTAGGTATAAATAAAATCACCCTGTATATTTTAAATATCTCTTGCCAGCTCTTGAGGATGAAGGAGTCTCTGGTTAGGAACTTGAGAATTTTCGCATTTATGGGGGAAGAAGTGAATCTGGCACTGCTGGGTGCCAGGAGCAAGTGGGTGAAAGCCGCTTTCTGGCAGACAAAATACGCTGTCGGGAGGCCACCTATGACTAAGTGCTGAGTGATAGTGTCCTGTAAAACAGCACGATCTTGCTTTAGAAGAAGGCAAGGCCTCCATTTGCACTGAGCGTGTGTTCCCGAAGGATTTGCAAACACTGTCGTGGAGACCCTGGTGGCAAGAAAATAATTTCCACATTGAGTGAGTTTATTTGTGTCTTATAAGCGGTTTTTATATACAGGAAGCAGATTAATTCGTTTTAGATTAGTAAATGCAGAATTTATGTATTTAAGTGGTTCCCTCGTGATCCAGCGCAGGAAAAGGAAATTGTTTTCATATGGCTTTCCTGGCTTGGTGATTGTTTCATGCCACTATCTTTCTATTTAGGTTAGAAGTTTGCTGACGTTTTTTTATTTGAAGCGGGTGAGGTGGATACATTGTTCTATAAATTGGGACCTAAGAACTCTTCCCACTTGGTTTTTCTCAACATTTCACAACACTAAACTGAAGGTCACGTTAGT